TTTTCAAGGCCATAATAGGTTTTAAATTCTCACTACAAGAAAATCAAAATTGAATGTTTATCCCACTAAAAGTTTTAAATGTTTGTCTTCTTTGTGAAATTTGCATCAAAAAACTCACAAACCAAAACCGAGGTGTGACCTAAATTAAAAGAGCTTTGCTAGTGAGCCTGCAGCCGTACGTATGGGAAGCATAGCATATGTAAGCTACTGCCTTCTACTAGTTCAGTAGCAACCATTAGGCATCTCTTACCAACACAGACATGCTTCGAGGCTGAGTCACACTAGATGAGCCATGTCTTTACTGGAACAACCTTTTTGTTGAGAGGTGAACAGTTTTTACTCTATGGTGCTGCATACAGGTTTGTTGGCTGGCATGGCCTTTTTAACACACTGGCATTTCTAGACCAGTAAAGCTTTAGATTAAGCATAGCTATAGCTTGAGTAAAAGCATGCTCTGAACAAAATGAACTATTCCAAAGGGAAAAAAAAAAGCTCTGTGTATAAATTTATACATACACATATTACTGTAGGTTTCATCCAAAAAAGTCCATAGAATAAGAACCTATATAAAAATTGCAATGTGAATTGATTGCTGGATTTCTCCCAATGCTTCTCATTGGCTTATCTGTCAAGCAGAGCTTTCGAGTTCGAACTAGGCTTTGTTACCATGCAGAAAATTGTGTATAGAGGGTTGGACCTTTTGTTTTTCTAAGTCCTGATAAGATGTATAGGAAATCTCTGTGGAGCTTTTCTATATAAATTTTAAACTTGACCTTGGTAGGACTTTGTATGCCTGTGGTATTTTTCATATTGCATTAAGTTCACAAAAAGGATATAGAGGTAGAAAGTGCTTTACTTTTTGTTGTAGGTGTTAAAATTAGATATGGTCCAATAAATATGCAGGTTGTTATGAATTGCTGTTGAGAATAAGAAGGGAATTATAATACAAACATTGTTTTCTAGTGCTTATTTCCCTTTAAATTGAAAAACAATTCTGAGTACATAGCTTGCGATTTATTCTGAGTTTTATGTAAGTTGTCTTATAAGTCTTTTTTTAAAGAAAAAAATCCTTTTCAAGGATTTTTCTGGGATAATAGAGAAAAAATGTAGACAAAGTGTGTGATCTGGGCAAGCTTTCCTTCTGTTTTGTGTTTTCTAATTATGGGAGAAATGGTACACCAAATTCCAGTCAACTGAGTGCTCAATTTTCTTCATCTGAAGTTGAGTCACTGTAAAAAATGAATAATAATTTTTAATGTGGGCTAAACCTCAAACAGTTTTGAACTTAGTATGTAAATTTGTCTTCAGTTATAAAAAGTATCCTTGTTAGGGCTGAAAGATAGTTAAGGAAAAATAGATGTTTTGATACTTTTGCTGTTATATATGCAGATTTCCTGTTTCTGGTATCATTGTTTTAATTGTTTTGCCTTTATTCTAAAACAATACAACATTAGCCCAAGTCTCATCTATATCTCTATTGTTTTGGAGCCTTTATTTTAAAATAGAATTTCTACAGCACTATATGGAATCCAGCTACTTTTTTCCCATGTACTAGTAATAGCTTTTCAGTTAGGACTCTTCCACATTGTGCCTTCCTGGAGCATGAGGTAGGATATGTCATCTCACCTCATCCAAGGCAAACTCTGATTCCTGGGCCACAGTTTCCCTTTTTCTCCTTCCACCTTCTTGACTAAATGCAAATTGTAAGAGAAGATGGGTTGAACAGTAAGAGTTTAAATGCTTTCAAGCAGGGGAGAGAATTGAAGGCCTTCTGTATTTTGACTGAATACCCAAAGCACTGCCCTAGTGGGTAATAAAAATAACGGAACTGTAAATAACAAAGAAAAAAGAGATTTTTCATGGAACATACTGCATTTAAAGCTACATGAAATTTGCACTCTGCCAGCTATAACTTTGCAGATAACATGAATTTAAGTGCTGCCATGACAGGCTATGTACTATATCTACATGTATTTAGAAACTTTCTCTTGAGGAGAGCTTGGAATACAGAGACTTAGACAAAGAAGGAATTTGTCCTTTATTTAAAAAAGAGGTAGGCATAATCCAACAGAGTTTAAGACCATATTTGTGTTTTAACATGAGTAGGGCTTATGAATTTACTGAGATTGCTTCGAAGTGCTAAGTTAAGCAGAACATCTCTACTTTTGGGTAACAGTGAGAACACAGATTCTGGTTAGATGCTTGTGTTTACATCATCGTTTTCCAGTGATTATGTAGATGATTTGTATCAGACAAAACTATAATGGAATCCATAGCATTGTTGTTATTTCCTGCTTAGAAAACTTAGGAAAAAAATACTTAGGAAAAATATCTAGTTACTTCTGTGTATATTTCCTGGAATTTTTTGTTTATTTCTTGATGGAAAGCATGTACTTGGCTTTTTTTTTTAAACTAGACTTGATAACATTTTATTGGAGTTTCTTGTTTCTGTTGAATAGAACTTTCTAAGACACCATCTCCTGTTTTTACTTTTTTTTAATTTGTTCTCCAAACAAGAGTGGAACTTGAAAATTATGTATTCTTCATATCTCTTTAGGTCAACTTATGAAAGATGGACCATATTCCTAGTACTAGTTTGCCTGCTAGAGGCTGAGGAAGGAGAATTAATTTTTCTGAGGATTGTCAGCACTGTTGAAGAGTACCCATGCAGAAGATTGTGCGTTGGTGTTTGACTTAAAATATCGATATGTCATTTTGAGCATTTTGAAAGATCTCTGTTCTAGCTTGGATACTGTCACATGAACTGAAAAAATGATTGAATGACTGTGAACAAAAGATTGGAAAACATGATTCTGCCTTGGCTCTAGTACTCAAAACAATTACAGCTCCTGACCAGAATGTGGAAATCTCTTGAAAAGTTTTGCTGGACAACTAAAGCAGAAGTTACATCCACAGACCATTTTTATCTTGAGAGTTATTTCAAACATGAAGTTAGCTGTGCTTCTTGGATATGAACTGTTTTAAGCATGAAAAAGATGTTGCTGTGCATATTGACTATCTTGGTACTTGACTAAGAAAAGTATGAAAAAAATGGAAAGTAAGGATTTAATTTATTTCCAATAAGTAACATAACACAGGTTTTGCTTTTAATTACAGTTGCATAAGCATAATACTGATTTAAAGATGAACAGACCGACAAAATTTGAAATGAAAAAACATGGTCATTGCTGGACAAAAACCTCAAAACACTGTTTTTAAACCCCTAGAAAGTGGTCCATATGTATTTTATTTATGGGGTTTTTTTTCATAAAAATATGTGAGGAGACCTTGCTGTCTTTCTATTTGATGTCTGTTTAACCTCTTTCCTCCAAAGTTCAGAAAAATCCTTTTTTTAGCATGACATTCAATCACCTCTGTTATATATCTCATCTCACATTGCTGCTTTCATAGTTATTGAATTCATTATCATAAGATGCAATGATGCAATGATTTTTACATATAACCATGTATATGAATACTGGAAAACATATTAAAATAATAGAAACCAAATAAAAAATAAATTTTTGTCAGTCATCAGTTTGTGTGCTTGTCCTAAACAGTAAATGTCTAATCCACCAACTTCTAATTACAGCTCATAGTAAATTTTATTTCTTATATTTATTTATTCTTTTTATAGTTCATTTGTCTTTTTCACATAAAGTTGTAATTTTTGCTGTATTTCAAATGACACATCAATAAGACTATAGATGACTTTATCAAATAAATATTTGCTCTGACTGCCCATAAGACCCACTAAACTCCATTGCTTACAGTTGACAGTACTATTGAAATACATCCATTTAGTGACAATAGATGGTCTATAGCTGTTATGAACTGTTACATATCTATTTTTCAAATCCTTTGCACTATATTGTCTCCTTACAGGTCACATACTTTGCTAAATATATGTTTTAGAGTCAGGTTTAAGATAGTGGATTTCTTTAAAGTCTAAGAACTATTACAGTACTATATTTTGTTTATATAATTAACAAAAGCCAGATTAGGTTCTAATGTTTGTAATATTAAGTGTTTGACTAATTGCTCATGTGATATTCCTACTTGTCTCCTTTCCTTCCAGGTTATGTTGTAGAAATAAAGGTGCAGACATTAAGTTTACCTCTTCTTCATTGCATCTGCTACTCATTACTAGTTCATGGTTTACTTCAGTCTTGTGGCCATTATGCACATTTTACACTAAACTATAGTATTTTAAAGAAAAAAATGGAGTTAAAATTATTGTATTGCTGAGATATTTAATGTGGAAAAGACGATTATGTGCATGATGAATTCCAAGTGAATCTGAGTTAAAGGGTTTTATGTAGTGGCTACTCACTGAGATAACTGCTTTGTTATTCTGCACATAGACTGTTAAAAACAAGTCAGAAAAGTTATATCTATATGCTTCTGAATTCCAGGGATTTGCACAATTCTGTTAGACAAAAGACATCCAGAATTTACTGTAACTGACAGCTGTTAGAATATCTTAGAGGTCTGCAAAAATTGAGGTTTCGAGAGCAACGTTTGTTTTCTGTGACATGACCAATGAAGATTTTTTTTCTGCAAGGTTCCCCTTTATCTTCATATTGTCTGGCTCCTCTGACAGTTCCTCTACTCACTGGCAGCTCTGCCAAAGGAGATTTAGTAGGTGGGAATGACCATGTTTTTAGGTGACTCAGGTTTCAAGGACAAGATAAGTGACTTGAAATAATACTGCAAACAACTCCTTTAGAAATATCCTACTTAATAGTTAAGGATTGGATCAAGGAGTGTTTGTTTCTGAGCATTTTTTTTGCTTGATGCTTTTACAGTGTTTGGTGAGAGGGTATCGTATGTTCTCATTTTCTTTGTGCCCACAGCTCTCTTGTACAGCTAAAGAAAATTACTAATGTGCATTGAGAAAAGCTATTAGCAGTTTTGATTGTTGTTTCGTTAATTACAGTTCATATTATGTAAATCAGTTTTCCGTATTTTCATTTTCTCTCTCTTTATTCTTTATTCAGATTCCACCAAGAAAATTAAGGATGTCTTAGAAGAATTCCATGGCAGTGGTGTGTTAGCAAAATATAATCCTGAAGGGGTAATTCTTCTTCTTTCTTAATGATCAGAAATGGTGGGGAGAATTTGGAAATGTAGCCAATCTAAGCATTTGAAATAGAAGATTTTTTTATAAATCAGCTGTTTGGGGTATTTGAAACTGTTTGAAAAACAAAAATATGAGTATTTTGAAAAACTAAAAATGTATGAATATCACATTAGACAGACCATCTTAATAATTTACATAAACCCACTTTTTTTTTTTTCCTAAAATTTAAAGAAACAAACTGTCATGGTTTGACCCCAGCTAAGCTCCAAACAGCCACTCGCTCACTCCCTCCTCCCCAGTGGGGTGGGGAGAGAATCAAAACAGACAGTTTAATAAGTAAAACAAAAGCTATGCACACAGGCAAAGCCAAATTCACCACTTCCCATGTGCAGGCAAGTGTTCAGCCATCTCCAGGAAGGCAGGGCTTTGACACATAATGATTACTTGGGAAGACAAATGCCATCACCCTGAGTGATCTCCACTTCCTTCTTCTTCCCCCAGCTTTATATACTGACCAGCATGCCATATGGTATGAAATATCCCTTTGGCCAGTTGGGATCAGCTGTCTTAGTTGTACCCCCTCCCAACTTCTTGTGTAGCCCCAGCCTCCTTGCTGGTTGGTGGGGTGAGAAGCACAAAAGACCTTGGCACTATGTAAAAACTGCTCAACCAGGACTAAAACATCTCTGGATCACCAACACTGTTTTAAGCACAAATCCAAAACATAGTCCCATTCAAGCTACTGTGAAGGAAATTAGCTCTATCCCAGCCAAAATCAACACACAGACATACCCCCACCAAAAAAAAAAAAAAAAACCAAACCAAAAAACCAAAACAACCCCACAAACCTTATTATAAGATTAACATGCTTTTCAATTATTTTTAAAGATTTGACATGTTAAGCATAATTTCAGAAGTTAGTAAAATCTGTTCTTTTAAAATTCTGTTTCTCTTGTGCTGTTTCTGGTAGTGGGATTTTCTGATGTTATGAAACAAAGAATTGAGCTGGAAAGAAAAGTGTTTGCGCATTGTCACTACAGATTCACCACTACACAGAGTATTCTGGTTTGGCTGGTAGAAAAAGCCAGATTGTTTTCTTTTCTTATCCTCATTTGAAGTTTGTATTTGCTTAGCACATCCTAATAGTGTGATTCAGAATGTAGCTAAATAAAAACCTGTTTCAGTAATGTTTCTAATATTAATGTTTCTAACTGTGCTCACATTACGTGAAATTCAGGACAGAAAAATGTGCTAACCATTATGAAAATTACTTAATCTTACATTTCAGGGTGTAAAAGACAAGAATTACTGGAAACTAAGATAGTTATAACTCATTAAGTATTGAGAAATTATTTGACGTTTTGTACTTGGAAAGCAAAATGTTGGTCATTTTAGTCAGTTTCTGGGGAAGAAGTTTTGTGATCCAGTAAAATAGTACAAGTTGATGCTGTAAATGATCATCTTAAATTTCCAGGCTTTTAGTTAAATGCAATCATAGAATATAAAAGGATGGGAATGTTGTGATCATCTACTCTATTCTCCAGTGTAACGTAGGCTGTAGGAGCTATTGTTTTTTATTAGAATATAGGCACATTTTTTGTTTGTTCTTTTTTTTCAGGAAAAGTCTGAACTGTTGATTTACAAACTCCATGTTTGCTTTTTTTTTATTTTACTTTAACTTCTGCAATTTTCTCTGTGCTCTTAGTGTATGTGATAAAATGGTCTTTATATATTAATGTGTTTTTTTTCTAATTTTTCACTTTGTCATCATACAATGTCTTCAGTTTTGTGAAGGGTCCCTGTTAAAGTGAAAAATGTGTATTTTATGGATATTTTAATAATATGTTGCCAAGCAGGTAATATGTTATCAAATTATCAATTGTGTATAAACATCATTATTTAAAGTGGTGTGATTAATCTCTTTTAACAAAGTCATTCTTCCAGCTTGGGGGTGTGTGGACATTGAGTCATGGCAAAATGTGATCGGTATGGGCACCCAGGACAACTGCTCTAATTTGAAGCCAGGTGAATTGGCAAAATTTGTGCAAAGCTGGAATTAATAAACACAGCTGGTCTTGAGACGAGTCTGTGACTCTGCATAGTGTCTCCCAATTCTTCGTTTCACAGCTATTTGTTTGCAGAATCCTGCTAGTGTATTGCAGCATCCAGGGATTATAGAGCAGGAGAACATGCAAGGCAGTGAGCAAGACAAGAGGAGGGAAGGGGAGGAAGAATGCAAGTCAGACACTGTGGTGACTTCAGTGTCTTCAGCAGGGATCAAGCTCTCCGCCACTGCTGGGTCAGTGTTGGACCTAGGCTAAATCTGACAGCTTTTGTACTTTACTGCTTAGCACTTAGACTTCAGGGAGTGCAACATAAAGAAAACATACCTAGCAACAAAGCTACTTTGGATCTGGTAGGATTTGTTAGCTCAAGTTTCATGCCATAGGCTGCTGAACTGAAAGCAAAGTGACTGAGCTTTCCTCTGCCACAGAGTGACTATTCTGTTCTGACAGGAGAACTGCCTCTACACAGGTGTACCTGTATTTTTGTCATGCATTCAACCTGCTGTGTGGATAAACTCTTTACAGAATGATTTGCACATTGATTTTATGTGGTTGGATGAGGACTTCATGGGTTAGAAGTAAATAATTGATTATCTGTAAATGGGATGACGAAAATTGACTGATCCAGCTGAGATCAGTCATAGTCCAGCTATTTATTTACACATATTATAGACAGCACTTCCGTTTTGTTGCTGTGTTTTGTAGAGGATACCATCATATTTCTGTTTTAACTTTCTATTTCCTATATTGTTATCTTATAAGCACTCAAAGTGGTTTTTTCAAGTCTTGTTCTACCAAAGGATGGTGCTTTTTTTTACCAATAAACATGGGACAGAAGAGCTATGGCAAAAATAGCAGAGATATATATTTATGTACTTAAGATAAAGCCTTAGGAACTTCCTGATTCAAGCTTCCCTCTGCTTAAAGAGTTCAGGAATTTACTCCACTCCATTGCTTCTGTATTGCAGTTTTTATCACAAGCTGATCTAATGGGATGCAAATAGCACAAGAGAAGGTACTGGTATTTGGAGTTTGTTACCTGAAGTAATCTGAGTGGATTTTGGGCTTAGGGGAAATGATGTATCTGATTATCAGAAAATTATCTATTATAGGGAATTTATTTATGAAGCTTTTAATCTCTGCTTTCAATGTAAAAGAGATGACCAAAATTTCTGCAAATTCTACTGAATCTCTGCCCTTTCACCTTCTTCACTAAGTCAATATCAAATAGGTAGTTAAGAATGGATTTTATACCTGGATATAAGACACATAGGTAGGTTAAGACTAGCCTCTTGGAAAGCTGTGATTTACAAATATTCTTTTCATTATTTGAGATTTATTTGTATTAATTATTTTCAGTCTTTTCACTTTTAGGGGAGCATTGAATAGGTTAACAAGAATTAGGAAAGCAGATAGAGCTAAAGGTGGTATCTAAATGATCAGTAAGTATACAATATTGTGTGCTTGTAGTCCTAGTGTTGTCATCCTTTTTGAATGCATCGTAATTTCTTGTTTGCCAAGGATGTCATTGGTCCTCTTGGCCACCTGGGCACACTGCTGGCTCATGTTCAGCTGCTGTCAACCAGCAACCCCAGATCCTTTTCCACTGGGCAGCTTTCCAGCCACTCTTTCCCAAGTCTGTAGTGCTGCATGGGATTGTTGTGACCCAGGTGCGGGACATGACACTTGACCTTTTTGAACCTCATACCTTTGTTCTCAGCCCATTGATGCAGCCTGTTCAGATCCCTCTGCAGAGCCTTCCTACCCTCAAGTAGGAAATGAAAACTCCCACCTAACTGACCAAGCTACACTTGATAAACTTCTCCAGATTGTTGACAAGGATATTTAACAGGACTGGCACCAACACCAAGTCTGGGTGACTGACTACCAGATGGATATAACTACGTTGACCACCACTCTCTGGGCTCAGTCATCTGACCAGTTTATTACCCAGCAAAGAGTGCACTTGTCCCAGCCATGAGCAGACAGTTTCTCCAGGAGAATGCAGTGTCAAAGGCTATTCTAAAGACCTTAGAGGTTTTCCAACATTAATCATAACAATTCTATGGAAGTCCAGGTAGACAACAACTACAACCTTTCCCTCATCTACTAAGTGGGTCACTTTGTCACAGAAGGAGTTTAGGTTGGTCAAGTAGGACCTAGCTTTCCAAAATTCATGCTGGCTTGTTCTGATCCCCTGCCATGTGATGGCACTGAAGATGGACTCCTCCGTGACCTTCCATGCCACTGATGTCAGGATGACAGGTCTGTAATTACCTGAATCCTCCTTCCAACATTTGCCAACCTCCAGTCAAGTGGGACCTCCCTTGTTAGCCAGGACTGCTGGTAAATGATGGAAAGTGGCTTGGTAAGCACTTGCACCAGATCCCTCAGTGCTCTTGGGTGGATCCCATCTGACCCCATAAACTCACATGTGTCTTAAGTGGTGTGGACAACGATTTCCCTTTGGATTCTGGAGGCTTCATTCTGCTCCCTACCCAACCTTCCAGCTCAGGGGGCATGGTACCACGAGAACAACTGGTCTTACTATTAAAGACTGAGGCAAAGAAAGCATTATGTACCTCTGCCCTTTCCTCATCTTTTATCAACATGATTCTGCCTGCATCCAATAAAGGATGAAGAGTCTCCTTAGCCCTCCGTTTGTTGTTAATGTGTTTATCTTAGAATCACAGAATGACTTGAGTTGGTAGGGACCTTAAAGATCATCTAGTTCCAACCCCCTCGCCATAAGCAGGGAAGCCACCTACTAGATCAGGTTGCTCAAGACTCCATCCAACCTGTCCTAGAACACTTCCAGGGATGAGGCATCCACATTTTCTCTGGGCAACCTGTTCCAGTGCCTCAATACCCTCTGCGTAAACAATTCCTTCCTAACAGCTAATCTAAATCTCTCCTATTTTAATTCGAATCTGTTTCCGCTTGTCCTATCACTATTTGCCCATGTAAAAATCCCTCTCGGTCTTTTATAAGCCCACTTCAGGTACTGAAAGACCACTATGATATCTCCCTGGAGCCTTTTCCAGGCTGAACAACTCCAACTCTCTCAGCCTGTCTTCACAAGAGAGGTTCTCCATTCCTCTGATCATCTTCATGGCCTCCTCTGGACCCACCCAAGTAGGTCGATGTCTTTTTTGTGCTGAGGACCCCAGAGCTGGATGCATCACTTCAGGTAGGGTCTTACAAAGGCAGACTAGAGGGACAAAAGCACTTGCCTCAACCTGCTGGCTACACCTCTGTGGATGCAGCCCAGGATGGAGTTGGCCTTCAGGGCTGCAAGCAAGGACTGCTGGCTCACTTCCAGCTTTTCATCCCTCAGAACCCCCAGGTCCTTCTCCACAGGGCTGCTGTCAATGAGGTCTCCCAGTCTATACTCGTACTCGAGATTGTCCCGACCCAAAGTAGCACCTTGCACTTGGACTTGTTGAACCTCATTAGGTTGTTGTGGACCCATTCTCAAGCTTCTACAGAGCTCCCTGGATGTCATACCTTTTTCTCGTCTTTTTTTTTTTTTTTTTTTTTTTTAATAGGATTTATGTAGTTTATCATTTTATTCATTCTGATAAGTTCTTGATTAAACAGCTCTTCTTGGTAACAATTTTTTTTATTTTTTTATTTTTTAAAGTACACAGGGATGAAAGGCAAGCATTAGATTTATTTTTTTTTCCTTGGTTAACTATCACTGCATGTTTAAATTTCTTGCACTGTCTAATCAAGACTAGCATGCTGACTTCGAGCCATTTTCTTGACTTTTGTGCTAATGCAAAATATGGGATATTCTATCTAGTCTCTTAAACCTGTTCATTTAAGTCACTAACCTTTCACCAAGAATATTTCTTTTACAAAAATAGAGCTTTACTGTTATGACACTGCACTAATGTGTGTGTCTTCTTTCTTTCCTTGCATGCCTTACAGAAACAGGATATACTTAATCAAGTAAGTAGTCTTAATTTGATTTTTTCTTTTTTTATGCATGGGTTCAGTATCTTTTATTTTGTAGGCTTTTCATTGAGATGTACTTGTTAATAAATACTGCATGTGGCTATTCTGTCAGATAATAGATGAATATTTAAAGCTGAGAGCAGAGTGCACTCCATTTATGGTGGCAGACTTTTTCACTGAACTTCATTTTTATCATTCACAGTACATAATTTTGCTAACATTAATTGAGTTGAATATGAGAAGTAAGTTAAGAGCAAGTAATTGACTTGTTCCATATTTGTCACAGAAATTTCTGCTTCCTGTGAGATCTTGTAATGGTTTTTATTATTCTAAAAGGACAAGAACACACATTGGAAAAATATTAAATGCAGATTCTATAACCATATAATACCATTTATATGTAGCAGGCTTAAAATTGAAGGCTTAAAAAATAGATTTGATAATTTGAATAAGGCTTACAGTGTGCTTTAAGCGATTGTGACTTTGCAGCGATTGCAAGAGAAATGGTTAAAGAGCTGATCATCAACCCAAGAGTCTACTCCTGAGAAGCTTCAGTAGCCTAAAACCAGGTATAAAAGTAAAATGAAAAAAAGAAAAAAGCTAGGGAAGAAGGACTAATGAAATGAACAAGTTTTTTTAAATGACCCAGTTATTCTTTCTTTGTAGCATAGAGGTGTTAAAAAGCCCCTTATCTGCTGTTCTGGCAAGAGGCAGCCAGAACATGAGAACAATGAAAATGTCAAGAGAGTGAAAGGATTAGTTTTGTAGGAAACCCTCACTTTCTGGGGTCAGAGGCCGGTTGAGTTTTTGGAGGTGTGTTACTAAGAGCAGTACTCCCTGTTCACAAAAGGACTCAGTTTTCTTCAGATTACCAAAGTTACTTTTTTTAGAAAGCTAGCAGAGTGACTACAGTGGGTCTTGAAAGAGAAGGTTTTCAGGTTAAAGCAGTGTGTCTATGACCAGTCTTGAGACTCATCTCATCAATATTTAGCTAATAACTTTGTCAAATTAGATGAATACTAATAGAATCAACATGCTAAACCAAATTTAGGAATTGTTGCTAAAATTGGGAAATTCTGGATACTACACTGGAAAAGCTTGATGATTTTATGGACTATAGTAAATGAAATGAAATGCACTCATGCAGAGTACAGTGTGCTGTACCCTGTCACAAGTGGCATTTTTAGATAAATTGATGTGTATATAGTTGATCACAGGATGAATTGTGGTTTGGTTGTGAAGAGGAGAAATATGTTACTGGGATGTTGTGATAGTACTCCTGTGGCCATGGTGGTCTGAGAACAAGACAAAACTTGTAAAAAAAGGTAGTGTCTTAGGCCCATTGACATACGTGGAAAACTAATTAAAATTTCAAGCACACAGAAATATGGTTTGAAAGGATTCTTTATACTTTTTCCCTAAGCTATGTTCTTTGATGTGACTGAAAATATTAACTTACTTTAAAGACCTTGCCTTGTTATAATATATAAAGTGAAGTATTTCTACTACAGATAGGAAGATTTAATTTTCTGTGAAAAAGGTACTGCAAAACCCACATGTGACAAAGCGAACTCAAGTTGGAACTAATTTACAGAAGGGTTAGTGGGATGTGCAGAACTATAGCATATATATTATGTAGGAGAAGCCTGTCCCTCACGTTTAGGAAGCTGGAGTTGTATAATTCTAGCTATGAAAGAGAAAAATGTAGCATCTTGCGAATATCACCAGCAGAAAAGTTTATGTTTTAGACACTGGGAACTCAGTGTTTTTCTGGCGCTCTGGGCAAAATTTCTAGGGAGAACTTCCTGGATACCTAGAGAGTTGGGAAGCCTGCCAGGCAAAGATGCTGGCAGTCTGGCTGTGAGCCTGTTTTCTGTGGAGTGTGTTGAGGGCACTGAGGTGTAAAATGTTTCAGATAGTCAATTTCTGCTGCAAAACTGTTTGCATTTGAACATTTTTTATGATCTTTAATGGTCCCTCTGTCTCCTTTTCCTAGTATATGCTAACAGTGCTAATCTCCCTCCTTGATATCTTCCTTTCCTTTTTATGCTTCCCTTTTCTGCCTTAAGATCACATCTTTGTCCTTCTTTTGCTCTACTTTTTTGTATTGCACAGTACCGTATTTTTAAGCTTTATGAACCTTGCTACGTTAAAAAAGACAATTTAAAAACTTTTGCACAGAATATTTATTTGTGAGTAGGGTTTTTTTGTGTGTGTGTTTTGGTTTTTTTTTTTTTTATTTACTGTTTTCATTCTGAACAACAATATGTTATCTTCTGGATTGGTTTCTATGATGATGGCTGCAGCTACAATTGATTCACCTGCATGGTGACATCCAGATAACATTTATGAAACTGCATAGAGAAAAAATATAGAAAAATATTTTAAATTATAATTTATTGCAGGAATTAATCAACTAATGGAAATGTCTTGAAGTCCTCTTATGCAATACAGGTATTGATATATATGAATGTATGCATATATAACTAAGCAGATGCCACTGCTCATATCTTTTTACCTCTTTCTAAACTAAACTTTTAAATTCTGGTAAGGAGAAACTCAAACTTAGTTATCATAGCTACACTTTTACTAAAACCTGTAAATTTACTTGGGGTAAAGTAGATGTAAGTTGTTGACAAATGGAATGGGACATTTTAAACCTTTTTCTGTTGGTATAAGTGATTATTTCAAGTGAAAGTTCCAGTTAGTCAGGCTCAAAATTAGTTAAATCTCAGAAAACAGTTAATTCCTGAAGTGGAAGTTTGTCAAGTATACTTCAAAACTAAAGGGGGAGGGATGGACAGTGACTGGTTTCTTACAAAAAGTGCTGTAGCAATTATTTTTAATAAATGTAGCTGAACTAACCTCCACAAAAGTTTACAGTGGGCAGAGAAGGTCATTACAGGGAAAATATGTAAAAACTACTGATACAGAACATGTACAGAAAAATTATTTTTCTTAGTTTTAACCACGTTATGAAAATGATAATTCAGATATGTTTGTAACTAGGTTTTTACACAATCTTCACAAGCAGATAAATTGTTTGTTTCAACCCGAACTTTTTGTCATAACTGACTTTTTTTAGGGATTCATTAATTTTGCTATTTTATTTGGTTTTAGTCTGAACCATGCTGCCTACTCCATTTTTCCTAACTTCTGTAGTAATTGTAATTTTTGGATGACAAATTCTTCTGGGACAGAATGCAATCTACATACTTGTCACTTTGTTTGGTTTGTAGTAATTTCAAAAGACTCTGAGTGGTGATCTCCTACAAGGTCCTTCTAGAATGTGCCTTAACACTCTTTCTTCTTAAGAAACTTTGCCACATTTGTATAGTAAATATAGCATATTTAGTAAAAATAATGTGTTAAATATACGTATTTATATGTGTAATACTTATGGATGTACGAACTTGTGCATGTATAGAATTATGTACTAAAGAAAAACTGCTGGTAATAAAGTGTCTTTGGTTTTTCTTTTAACCAAATGTAAGATTGGGATGAGACTGCAGTGGTTGGTGTATGCATTCCAGACTTATTTTGGTAATTGGCATCAATTTGTTTTAATAACATGAGAAAGTACTAGAAGATTATGCTTAAAAATCTAGTTATTGCATAAAAATTTTCCTATTTCCATTTCAGATGCTTTGTTGCTTTTACTTCTTTGAAGAGCTGAGGGAAAATTTTGGCAATACTATATGTCTGTGTATTGGTAATATCCAAATATTATTTGGCCATATGGAATATTTGGTAGGAGCAGCCTGTGAGAGTGTGTGATTTTTATTTTTTTTTTTTCTGTAAACATTCATATCAGCAAATGAGAATTTGGAGGCTGTTTTACCTAAGAACTAGTTTTGTTTGGTTACCAGAATTTTCAAAATTAATCATGTAAAAACTGTATTAAAGCAAATGCTTAGATCAGAAAATGCTAAGGACTTTCAATTTAAATCAAACTTTACTGTGATGAACAAAGCCAATCTTCATGAGGAATTCCAAAATTAATTTGACTTTCTACCTTTGAACATTAGAAATATATTTTAAACACAAAAAAAAATGTATTCTCAGTAATTAATGGTTTTTAGCTTATTAACCCTCTCTATACGGTCCCTGTTTTTTTTTTCCCAAAAACCTCGAAAATTTTTCAGTAGTTCTTTTTTGGGTCAATACAAATTGTTTAAAAATAAATAATCAGTTAAAGGAACTTACCCAAACCTAAAAAATAACTCAGAGCTATTACTGTCAGTAGATGAAAGCTGATTATAACTCTACATTTTTGGCACCATTTTGAGATCAGGCAACATAATTTAAAAAGTAATTAATTGATAATTACATTTCACTATAATTCTCTTTCCATTATCTCTGAAATTTTGTCTGTAATAAGTAAAAATCATATTTCATGCAAGTCTCTTGAAAGAAATTATTTATCCTTTTTCTTTTTCTTTGTTCTCCCTTCCATTCTGTTTTTCAGGAAAATAAAAACAATGGCTTATGTTGAAATATTTTTTACAAATCTAAAAGAAGAAAAAAACAAAGAGAATGTGATATTTTAAAAGAATTTATGGGTGGAGATTAATTTCAAACACTAGATCTTGTCTTGTTCCCATTTATGTGGCCAGTGTGGTGGGGAGGATTAAAAGGAGTTATTATTCTACCCCTCCCTGCCCTACCCCATCCACAATGGGGTCCACAATAGTCTTTTGTCAAGAGACTATTAATAAGTTGCTTTTTTGGTGTCTTGTGAGGAGAAAGAAAGTGGAGTGATAGAGCTTCTCTTCCTTCTTTCTACATGTCATCCAGTGGAACTGGTCATTGCATTTACACCAGCTAGGAAAATATAGAAGACCATTAGACACCTTCAGTTGCAGTTTGTTGTTAGGGTGGAGCTTGGGGCAGATGCTGCCACTTTCTTACTAAATTATTGCTTCTCTTCAAATGTCTTAGTATGGTAGGAGATAAAATATTATAGAGCATAGTTAAAACTTCTATATAGTTTT